GGGGAGGGCCAGGAGCTTGATTCTTGCAACCACCTTATAAATGTGTTCCCTGTTAAGTATAAATGTTCAACTTCAATTTAAAGTTTGAATTTTCTTTAGATTTTGCAATACGGATGGCAAGTGAGATTAATTTCTAGAGAGTGTTTTAAGTCAGAAATATGCATAATACTTATGCATATTTATATTTAATAATATGAGAAAAATTTCCTGTACTAGACCACAGTAGAGTGTTTCAAAAGATTCTTGAAATTAGACAGACCTAGAATCCCAGTTCAACCACTTGCTAAGCATGAAAGCCAAAACAAGCTTCTCATCCTTTCAGAGTGGCAGTTTCCTATCCAAAACATAGGAATAATAATGTCTGTTTCAAAGTTTATTGTTAGAATTAAGTGAGTCAATGTAAGAAAAGCGGTATATACCATCAACTTAGAGGGAGTGTTCAACAAGCACGTCCCTGTTGTCCAAATGAATCAGTTGAATGAATGTATGATATTCTAGGAACTATATGTGCTCTAAAGTAGGGGCTAAAGCTTATTCACATTCAAAACTTAGTTTACTCTAGATCCGTAAGTGATATGATAAGTCTTCCATATTTTGAATGCTCAATAGGTGGAAGTAATAATCTTCAACTATTTAATTCTCAGTAATTCAACTATCCTAAATTCATTCTAAGTGCCATATAGATCTTTTCACCAGGACACCATCCTATGAACTAGGCAGATGAAAGCACTCTGAAAGAAAAGTATTAATCAAATCATGGGATTGCCAATTAAGTCAAATCACTAAGTTTTAGAGCTAGAAAGCCTATTACATAAGGAAAAGGACTTATCCCTAACTCACCACATTCATCATTAAATGGTTTAGGATACAGGAGTATGGCAGGTTACTTTGAAACTAGAAAGTACTTTACAAGTATCATTTCAACTTATCCCTGAGAACTAGACCTCTGTACTATTATAAACCCAACTTTACTGATGAATACATAAAGGTTTAGGAAGTTTATGGAAGCATTCACCAAAACCACTAATTAGTGGAATTCCATTTTTCATGATGTTCTGAAGAACTAAAAAACTACAAATAACAGCCATAGTGTGATGGTGATTTGTCAGAAAACAAAACCCCTGGTGGTGCAACGGTTAAAGCACAGCACTAAGAAGCTAGCTGCAGCCACTTCAACACAAGTTCCATCCCCTGCCAGGGGGCTGACCCACATGGTGCAGCAGACCTCTCTTGCATCGGCTGCTGCTCCATAGTGTACTTCATCAATCTGCCTGTTCTGCTCCTGCTCTGTCTCTGGTGAATCCTCTCACC